GCCGGAGTCAAGGCATGACGGGTCAATGAAGACAGTCTCATTTGGGAGGGATGCGATGAGATGCCTATCAAAATCTGATTTGGTTTTAAATTTTTCCCCTACGGAGGAGGAGGGGGCATGGATGAAAAGAAGTTGGGGGGCCATGGTGAGATCTTTAGATATGGTCAAGCAAATACAGAACAGATTTAATGTTGATGGGGTTCGGGTTACAGTAGCATTGTTAGGGGGTCGTCAGGTAGTGTTACTGGATAATTCGGAAGGTTGTTTTGAGGAGTTCATAAAGGATAATCGGGAGTTGATAGATTATTGGTTTGAATGGATTCAGCAAAGTAGCTTAATTACAATGCCTCTATTGAGTAGATTGGTGTGGCTTCGGTTGACAGGGGTCCCTTTGAAAGCATGGAGTGACAGATGTTTCACGGAGCTAGGGGGGTTAATTGGATAGGTGATTCTTGTGGATGAGGATACAAAGAGCAAATCTTTCTTGTGTGAAGGTAGAGTGTTGATATTGAGCACGGAAAAAACCAAGATTTCTACCATAGTTATGCTGCAGATTGAGGGTGAAGTTTTTCCGGTGACAGTGGAGGAGGAGGAGTGGCGGATGGACCCAGATTGGTGGCTGGCTGGAGAACGGCGAAACCCGGCAACAGAGTCCGACTCAGAAGCTTCCAGCGACGGTTACAATAATTGTCAATTAAATGAGGACGGATTTCTGGGCGATGAAGTCGCTGATTTGGCCGAGGATCGCGCACCAACGGCTCTTGACGTGCATGGAAGTTTAAATGAGCAAGGAGTTTTGGCGGAAAAAGGATCGGGTGAGTTGATTAGGGAACATGGGCTTGGTGAGAATGGGCCGGGTGTGGATAACTTGCGTGGGCCAGAACTTGTGGAGAATGGTCTGCAGCAGGCCGAAGGTGGTATGTTGGTGACAGCTGGGTCGCAACATGGTCGGTGGGATCGGGTGAAGAAATACAAATGTGTGGAGGAGATATATGCTAGGGGCAGGGGAGTGAGGGAACCGACAGAAACAGAGTTGTCGTGGGTTACAGAGAGAACAAAGCTCAGAAGGGAAAGAAAGGAAAAAGTTCAGCTGGCTGGGTCTCGGCAGGAAGTGCAGCGGGAAGCTTCTCTGTCCGATGGTTGTATTCAACATAGAAACCAAGCTACTCGGCAACAGATGGAGGTAGATGAAGTGCGCAGATTATTTGAGATGGGGCAACGGTTGGGAGTACAATGTCAACAGAATGAAGCAGAGGTATTCTCAAGGATGACAGCCTTGGAAGAGAGGGATGCTGTCAATCTAAGAGGGGATTAGATCTTCGGCGATTATGGAGGGGAAGCAGTGAGGTATGCTTTTATTTATGAAGATTATTTCTTTTAATGTGAGGGGGTTGGGTAGTATGTTGAAGAGAAAGGAGGTTCACAATCTAGTTAGAAAGGAGAAGCCTGATTTCTTATTCATTCAGGAAACGAAATTAGAAGTGGTGGAGGGTTCTTTGTGCAGGATGTTGTGGATTTCGGAAGATTTTGATTGGGCAATGCAAAAATCACAAGGAAATTCGGGGGGGTTATTGTGCATATGGAACAAGAGGAGTTTTGTGAAAAAGAGGGTGTTTGAAGGAAAGGGGTTTATTGGGATTTCGGGGGAATGGGGTAGTAAACAGCTCAGCTGTAATATGGTGAATGTGTATGCTCCTTGTGATAAGAAAGAGAAGGTTTTGTTGTGGGAAGAGATGGGGAGTTTAGTATCGAATCAGGGTGGGAGGTGGCTTTTAGCAGGGGATTTTAACTCTGTTCGAAGTATAATAGAAAGGAAGGGGAAATTAGGGGAGACTCAGGATATGGAAGAATTTAATCGATTTGTGGAAGGGACCGGTCTTATTGATGTTAAATTGTTGAACAGGAAGTTTACTTGGTATAGATCTGATGGAAGCTCAATGAGTAGACTTGACAGATTTTTGTTATCTTCGGAGATGTGTATGGTGGAAAGAGATTGGACACAAGTTGGGGTTCGACGCTCAATCTCAGACCACTGTGCTATTATTTTGAAATCAAGAAATGTTGATTGGGGTCCTAAGCCGTTTCGAGCTCTTGATGTATGGCAACAACACCCAGAGTTTAGAGATTTTGTGGTGGCTAAATGGGAAAATTTGCAAATTGAAGGCTGGGCAGCTTTTAAGTGTCAAAAAAAGCTGCAATTATTAAAGGAGGAATGCAAAAGGTGGAACAAGGAGGTGTTTGGAAATGTGGAGAGAAGGTATGAGAGTTTGTTGCAGCAAATTGAGATGTTAGATAAAAAAAGTGAGGACACTGATCTAAATGAGAATGAGGTGTTGTTACGAAAGGTGTGTTCTCAGGAAGTTTGGGAAGTACTACAGAAAAGAGAAGCGGTGTGGAGACAAAAATCGCGAGCCAATTGGGTTCGCCTTGGGGATGCCAATACGGCTTTCTTTCATAGAAGTGTGCATGCTCGACGAGCACAGAATGTATTATCAGGCATCTTAGGTGAGGGTGGGTGGGTTGAGGAACCTGAAATGGTAAAGGAGGAGGCAGTAAGGTATTTTTGTCAGTTATTTCAGAATGATCAGTGGAGTCGTCCAGTGATGGGTGGGATTCAGTTTCGTCGAATTTCAGATGAACAGAGGGAGTGGCTCGAAAGGCCTTTCTCAATAGAGGAGATTGAAGAAGGACTTCATAGTTGTGATGGCTCGAAGGCACCCGGTCCAGATGGGTTTAATTTTAATTTCATAAAGTTTGCGTGGAGTTCTTTGAAAGATGATTTCGTGAATTTTATGTGTGAATTTCATCAACATGGAAGGTTAGTGAAAGGATTAAATTCTTCATTCCTTGCATTAATCCCTAAGAAATTGAATCCTATTCAGTTTAAAGAGTATAGGCCTATTAGCTTGTTGGGGTGTTTGTATAAATTGTTGGCCAAGGTTCTGGCGAATCGGTTGAAAATGGTAATGTCAGATATAATTAGTGATTCTCAGTCCGCTTTTGTGGGTGGTAGGCAGTTGGTGGATAGCGTGTTAATCTTGAATGAGGTTGTGCATGAGGTCAAAAGCAGAAAGCAACAAAGCTTTATGTTTAAAGCTGATTTTGAGAAAGCTTACGATTGTGTGGATTGGGGTTTTCTCGATTGGATGATGGATAGTATGGGCTTTGGG